AATGCATTAAAATATGTTTTATAACATGTCGATGGGAGTTTTAGCACTTATGGCTTCTTCTTCAGTTGCCAAGGCCTTGACCGATTCTTTTAACTTAAATTTGCCAAAAACCGGTCAAATTCCAACTGTTGGTGTCCAATTTACCGCGCAAGTTTCATTTATATTAGTCGCTGTTGACACGATGGTTGACAAACTGAATAATCTTATTTTGCGGTGGCAATGATTGGGACTAAGGGACTCATATGTGCCTTTTTAGTAGCCTTTATTGTTCCTAATATTTATTACCAATGCTTTAAACATAATATTACGATCAAGCTACCTGATGCAGTACCTCAAAACATTGCTGGCGCCTTCAAAAATATTATTCCATTTGCAATAAGTACCTTCTTATTTTGGGGCTTTTCGTTAGCTTTTCGCGCTGCAACTGGAACGAACTTAGCGGCCTGGATTATTCAAATACTATCCCCGTTGTTACTGCGGCAGATGGCTATTTCGGCTTAGCAATTGTTTATGGTGCAATGGCCTTTTTCTGGTTTATTGGAATTCAAGGTCCGTCAATTGTCGAACCAGCAGTTACTGCAATTTATTTAAGTAATGTTGAACTTAATTTATCGGCTTGGAAAGCAGGCAATATTGCCGGTGCTAACAGGATTTTAGCTCAAGGAACACAATATTTCGTTGCAACTCTTGGCGGTACAGGCGCGACATTAGTAATTACATTAATGTTTGCATTTTGGTCAAAGTCAAAAGAATTAAAGGCAGTTGGCCGTGCAGCCTCCGTTCCGGTATTATTTGGCGTTAATGAACCAATTTTATTTGGCGCCCCGTTGATTTTTAAATCCGGTCTTCTTTATCCCATTTATTTTGACGCCAATAGCTAATGTATGGCTATTTAAGATTTTTGTTGATCTATTTCATATGCCAGGTTTTATTTACAATTTGCCTTGGACAACACCAGGTACCCTTGGTCTGATTATGGGGACGGGATTTTCTGTTGGTTCAATTATTCTAGCAATTTTACTTTTTAGTAGTTGATACAATTATGTATTATCCTTTTTTCAAAGCCTATGACACGCAAAAATGTGCAGAAGAGGCTAAGAGTGCAGGTAAATTGAACGTAAAGAATGAAGATAGTCATTCTGTTCAAAGTAGCAATGAGGATACCAGCTCCAAAGAAGATGCAAGTAAGATTCCTCTTCTGCAACTAAGATGGCAAGGCGCTAAATGTCTTAGTTTTATGTGCAGGTGGCGGAACAAGTGGTATTTGGCTAAGGCCTTAAATAAATTAGCTACTGAGAACAAATTGCCACTCTCTGTTGCTGCTGCTTCGTTTGGTGCACATCATGACCTGCTAGCAGGTATGG